CTCCCTGGGCCGGGAGAGGGAGTTTCTCTGGGAAAGAGGCAGGCTCTGAGGCTGTTGATCTCTAAATTATAGCGTTGGCGCGTACCAGTTGCTGCGGCAACCGAGTTGTCCTGAACCGGGGAAGTGTATAAACATTGCCACAGATGCACAATTAGATCAGGAAGAAGAATAGAACAGAAAATAGAAATTCCAGCCTTATGTAATTCTGGGCCAAAATGTTATTGGGAACCCAGGCCCAGTCCTGGCCCTGCCAGCTGCTGGCGCCCGGGGCAGCACTGTGTCTTCCCTGGGGACCCAACGGCTGGCAGGGGCGAAGACAGCATCTGTCCTCTACGGGTGCTGTGAACATCCTGCCACCCAGTGGAGGGAGAGGCCCCCTCTGCTGCAACAGCTGGGGATGCTTGACAGGCAAATCCTGCCTGTCACCAGCTCCTGGGAAGTGTGGGAAGGAAAGCAGCAGGATGATGGCTTTAACCCAGCGCCCACTGTCCCCATAGGTCCCATGAGGTAGGGAGTTTTGGTCCCCATGTTAAAGATGAGGACATCGAGGCTGACAGAGGTGAACAGAGGTTCCCGAGGTCTGTCCTCCCCTCCTACTCCCTGTCTCCCCACCATCCACTCATCAGTGTTGGTACCACGTGACTTCTTATCCACTGTCAGCTTCATGGCCTTGGGCAGGTCGCTTTCCCTCTCTGAGCCACCTGGGACATGGGAATATCGATGTCTACAGAGTTGAAGATGAGGGATCCCCCGTCCTCCATCCTGACTGTCAAGTCGGATTCTTTCCCAACTGCTGCTCCAACAAGTTGGGGTCCTGGCCGGGAATTTGGGCTGAAGGATTCAAAGCAACTGTGGGAGGGAAGAGTCTAAGAAAGGAGCTCATACCCAGGTGGGGCTGCAGGTCCCAGTAGAACTTTCTTTTTTTTTTTTTTTTTTGAAATGGGGTCTGGCTCTGTGGCCCAGGCTGGAGTGCAGTGTCGTGATCACAGCTCACTGCAGGCTTGACCCCCTGAGCTCAATAGATCCTCCCGCCTCAGTCACCCTACTAGCTGGGACCACAGGCACGCACCTCCACGCCTGGCTAATTTTCTTATTGTTTGTGGAGATGGGGTCTCACTCTGTTGCCCAGGCTGGTCTCAAACTCCTGGGCCCAAAGGATCCTGGCATCTCAGCCTCCCCAAGTGCTGGGATCACAGGTTTGAGCCCCTGTGCACAGCCAGAAATTTCTGAGTGACAGAACTCTCCTGTGTCTTCTCTGTCCAGTGTGGTGGCTGTTGACTACATGTGGCTCCTGATCACTTGAAATGTGGCTCGTGCAAGGAAAGAGCTGCAGTAACATTTTATTTAGTTTTTTTTTTTTTTGAAATGGAGTCTCGCTCTGCCGCCCAGGCTGGAGGACAGTGGCACAATCTTGACTCACCACAACCTCTGCCTCCCAGGTTCCCAAGCGACTCTCCTGCCTCAGCCTCCTGAGTAGCTGGATTACAGGCTTGAGCCACCACGCCCAGCTAATTTTTGTATTTTCAGTAGAGAAAGGGTTTTACCATGTTGGTCAGGCTGGTCTTGAACTCCTGACCTCATGTGATTCACCTGCCTTGGCCTCCCAAAGTGCTGGGATTACAGGTGTGAGCCACCATGCCCTGCCTATTTAGTTTTAATTAAATGTAAAGAGCCACAGGTGGCCAGCAGCTATCGCACAGGAGGAAGTTTAGCTCTCAAGAATTTGAAAAGTGCAGAGATGGAATCTAGGGAGGGGAGCAGGCCCAGAGCCTCTGCAGCTCCCTATGCTCAGGGCAAGCAGGGCAGAAGGACAGGGAGAACCAAGATGGGCATCAGGAAGCTTCTAGAACAGTGAGCATAGGAAGGCTGGAGGGACAGTGTTGAGGGGCAGGGATTAGGACCTGGATCCTATGGCTTTAGCTTCCTGGTCTGTGGACCCCAGTCTCGAAGCTGGGCCAGGCTCGGGGGCACTGGCTCAGATCCTGTCATCAGAATCACCTCCACTGCCATCTTCCACCTGCCGGGGCAGAGGAAGTCTTCGGTCCCGGTCCAGGCTCACCTGCTTCTGGGCATCTTGGAGCTGAGTCTGGGTGGCCCCGTGGGGGCCCCTCGCTCCCCAGCGTCTCACCTGTCCGGCTTCTCCTCCACAGGCCCTGCGTCTTCCCAGGTGACCACGCCGGCTTCAGGACATGCACGGACACAGCCGCAACGGCCAGGCCCACGTGCCCCGGCGGAAACGCCGCAACCGCTTCGTCAAGAAGAACGGCCAATGCAACGTGTACTTTGCCAACTTGAGCAACAAGTCGCAGCGCTACATGGCGGACATCTTCACCACCTGCGTGGACACACGCTGGCGCTACATGCTCATGATCTTCTCCGCGGCCTTCCTCGTCTCCTGGCTCTTTTTTGGTCTCCTCTTCTGGTGCATCGCCTTCTTCCATGGTGACCTGGAGGCCAGTCCAGGGGTGCCCGCGGCGGGGGGCCCAGCGGGTGGCAGCGGGGCGGCCCCAGCAGCCCCCAAGCCCTGCATCATGCATGTGAATGGCTTCCTGGGTGCCTTCCTGTTCTCCGTGGAGACACAGACGACCATCGGCTACGGGTTCCGGTGCGTGACGGAGGAGTGCCCGCTGGCGGTCATCGCCGTGGTGGTCCAGTCCATTGTGGGCTGCGTCATCGACTCCTTCATGATTGGCACCATCATGGCCAAGATGGCGCGCCCCAAGAAGCGGGCACAGACGCTGCTGTTCAGCCACCACGCGGTCATCTCGGTGCGCGATGGCAAGCTCTGCCTCATGTGGCGCGTGGGCAACCTGCGCAAGAGCCACATCGTGGAGGCCCATGTGCGGGCCCAGCTCATCAAGCCCTACATGACCCAGGAGGGCGAGTACCTGCCCCTGGACCAGCGGGACCTCAACGTGGGCTATGACATCGGCCTGGACCGCATCTTCCTGGTGTCACCCATCATCATCGTCCACGAGATCGACGAGGACAGCCCGCTCTACGGCATGGGCAAGGAGGAGCTGGAGTCGGAGGACTTCGAGATCGTGGTCATCCTGGAGGGCATGGTGGAGGCCACCGCCATGACCACCCAGGCCCGCAGCTCCTACCTGGCCAGCGAGATCCTGTGGGGCCACCGCTTTGAGCCCGTGGTCTTCGAGGAGAAGAGCCACTACAAGGTGGACTACTCGCGTTTTCACAAGACCTACGAGGTGGCCGGCACGCCCTGTTGCTCGGCCCGGGAGCTGCAGGAGAGTAAGATCACCGTGCTGCCCGCCCCACCACCGCCTCCCAGTGCCTTCTGCTATGAGAACGAGCTGGCCCTCATGAGCCAGGAGGAAGAGGAGATGGAGGAGGAGGCGGCTGCAGCGGCTGCAGTGGCCGCGGGCCTGGGCCTGGAGGCGGGCTCCAAGGAGGAGGCGGGCATCATCCGGATGCTGGAGTTGGGCAGCCACCTGGACCTGGAGCGCATGCAGGCCTCCCTCCCGCTGGACAACATCTCCTACCGCAGGGAATCTGCCATCTGACCTCCAGGCCCAGCCACGCCACTGCCCGCAAGAGCCTCTGCCGGGCGTGGGATGCCAGGACACCCCCTCCACACTCAGGACAGAGCTGACCCTGGCTCCCTGGACCTTCTGGAGGAAGGTGGGGTTTCAAAGACTGGGGGACCCCTTCCTCCTGACCCCAGCACCCAGGCCTGGGAAGAGCTCGGCCCCATCAGCCTGAGTTCCCCCAGCGCCTACTCCTGGTGGCTCTGGGTCCAGGACCCACCACCCTTCCCCCACTGACTCTTCACGGACGTGCCCTCTTTGCTCTCAGAACCTTGGGGAAGGTGGCTGGACCACTGGGTGAGGGACATCTCGGGGTTTCAGGGCGGGCAGGGGGTGAGTTTGGGGAGGGAGGGAGGGGGGTGCGTTTCTTTTGCATGACTGTGGCCTGTTGCTCATGACTTTCTTTTGTAAATATCTATAAATGGAGACAGATGGAGACACCAAATTCACCTTCTGCTGTTTTTACCTACAGGACAAGGAGATGCAGTCCCTCTCTGAGCACCCCTCCCCACCCCGCCCGTCAAGCCTAGCCCTGTCCCCTGCTCAGCTGGCTGGCCCCTAGAGGCCCTCAAAGCCAGCCACCTCCGACTTGGATGGTGTTGGGTTTGACTGCACAGGTGGGACGCCGAGGGGCAGGATGAGGGACTGTTCCTCCCTCTCTCCCTGCAGTCCCTCTGGGCACGGGGGCCGCCCAGATTGACAATGGAGTTTGTAACTCTGCGTGTGTGTGTGTGTGTGTGTGTGTGTGTGTGTGTGTGTTGTTTTGAGATGGAGTCTCGCTCTGTTGCCCCAGATGGAGTGCAATGACGCTATCTCAGCTCACTGCAACCTCTGCCTCCTGGGTTCAAGCGATTCTCCTGCCTCAGCCTCCCAGGTAGCTGGGATTACAGGCATGGGCCACCACACTCAGCTAATTTTGTATTTTCAGTAGAGATGGGGTTTCATCATGTTGGCCAGGCTGGTCTCGAACTCCTGACCTCAGCTGATCCACCTACCTCAGACTCCCAAAGTGCTGGGATTACAGGTGTGAGCCACCACGCCTGGCTGTAACTATATATTTTTAATAAATTATACGGTCCAGTAGGGGTAAACTGGTTGAAGATGGAGGGGTGAGGAGAGAAAGAGCAAGCAAGCACATGTGTAATTGTGCCTGTGTGTGTTATGTGTCTGCCTGTGTAGTGTGTGTGCCTGTGTATCTGGCCATTTCTGAGAGACCGACCCTTGGAGGGAACTCTATCACCTGCCATTCTCCTTCCTGCCAGTCAACAGAAGGATCTGGAGTTGGCATCAAAGAACCAAAACCTTTGATGTCAGAGCTCTGTTATTTAGTAGCTGTGCGACTGTCAGCTCTTGGCTTCAGTTTCATCATCAGCAGAATGGGATTAATCACCCCTCCCTCTTGTGATGATGGGCAGGACAGCCCTGTGTGGATGTCAGCCAACCCTTGCTAACTCAGGTGGAAGTGGGAAGGGCCCACCCAATGAACACCTCCCTACATACGTGCAGATGCACACAGCGCTGGTGCGAAGGGCACAGGGGCCAGGAAACCTGGTCACAGACTTGACCAAGACAGCCTTGGTCCCTGCTCTCTGTGGGACTTTGGGTAAGTCCCTTCCCTTCTCTGGCTTTAGTTGGCCTATTCTATGTAACAAGCCAGTGCAAAACAGTGAGCAATGATTTCTCCTCTCTTAGGTTCCTGTGGGTGGGCTGGGGTTCCTGGCTGATTTTTCCTGGGCTCACCCGGTAGCTGTGCTCAGCTGGAATGTCAACGAGCCTGGAGGACCCTCAATGGCCCCACGCGTATGTCAGCCGTTGGCCTGGCTGCTTTCTGGGGGAGGCTTTGCTTCTCCTCCAATAGGCTGTGTCACATTCCTTCATGGCGACTCGGGAGCAACCTAAGAGGGTGAAGGGAGAAGCTGCAAGGTCTCAGGAGGCCTAGCCTTGAACTTGGACATAACGTCACTTCTACTGCAGTCTATCGGCCAATCCAGGTCACAAGGGCAGCCCAGATTCTAAGGCTGGGAAATTAAACTCCACCTTTTGGAAAAGAGGCAAGGTCACATTGCCAAGGACCTGCTGACCAGGAGGCTGCTGCGGCCATAGTTGGTCATCTATCCCAGAGCCTTGGTGTTTGAGGCCCCCCACTCTACTTCTATTCTACACGTAAGGAAGCAGAAGGCACCCTCCCGAGTCCCAGGAATCTCCCACACAAAGGTGCCAGCTGCCTCGGGGGAAACAGTGAACCGGCACGCAAGCTGAACTGCAGTGAAGCACAGCAGGCTGCCTTGGGAATGACCACGTCTCACCAGCCCTGGCAGCATGGCCTCTGTGTGGGTAAATCACTGCGCGCCCCATATGCTGCGATGCTGCTCAGGGAAACTGGCGGCCTCTCTCCTGGAGAAGGAGCCTCGCTTGGGATCCAAGCCTCCCAATAGATAACTCATAATGTCTCTCATTTGCATAACACCTTTCACGTCCTTGGGTTCATTGAACTCTTAGGAAACTCCGAGGGGAAACCAGACAGGAATTATGGCCTCCTTTTACTGATGAGGAAATAAATGGAGGCCCAGAGAACCAGGTGGGGGGTGGCTGGAAACAAAGTGAGAACGGTCAGAGACCCAGGACCCTGCTTCTCCTTCACGCCATCCTCTCCCAGGTGGAAGTTGATGAGGGGGAGGGGCTGCTTCCTTTCCTCCTCTGCCCCCTCCCAGATTTCCCAGAGTGCACCTGTGGTCTTTGCTCCCCAGCCCAAGAGCCTGTGGGGGCCACTCAGCAAGAAAGAAATTCAGTGGTGCATCCATCTACATCCGGAAGGACCCCTGGTCTGCTTCCTGGGTGAGAACACCCCAGGGTCATGAGAGATGTCGTTTTATCCAGCCCTGCAGGTCCTGGGTGGCTCTCACCAGGTCTCCTCCCTCTTCCCCAGAATGCCACGGTTCCCTGGGCTATGAGCAGTAACCGAAGAGGACTCAGGCTCAGGCGCCCCAGACTCAGAACCTTTCTCCTGGAGAACATCTTAGGGGATGTCCGCCCTCCTCTAAAATGTGCGAGAGGCCAGGATACACAATAAGGAAGGGGTACCCGTGGGGTTACCCCCAAGAGGGCCTGCCATCCACCACCCAGAGCAACATGGGGCATTCCAAGGTCCCTCCAGGGACTTCGCCAGTTTGCGGCTTGCTCAGGTACTCGGGGAAATTGCTCTTTTAGGAGGGGCCTGGTCTCTCTGGTGACATGCAAGGTGACCCCTGTAGGGTCACACAGAAGAGGCAAGTGAAGGCCCAAAGCCAGGACTTCTGGAGTGCCAAAGGGCAGTGCCAGTGTGGGGGAGGGGGCCACGGGTGCTGAGAGCCCGCAGCTGCAGGGAGGCTCCCAGGCCGCACCGGCTGCGCTGCAAACTCCTGCTGGCTCAGCTCTGCTTGGGGCTGACTCACCTTCCCTCTCCCACCTGTTCCTCTTTCACAGCCCTCCCACCTGCCTCCCTCCTCGTGCCACTCCTCTGATCCCTCACTCCACGCTGGCTCCTGCGGCGCTGAAATTTGGGGATTGCTGCGTCTGGGGGTGTAAGAACCTTAGATGTCACAGAGCTTGGAATCGTGCAAACGGGCGGGCTGAAGGGGCCTTAGAAATGCTGCCAAGCCCTCCTCATCCCACACCAGAATCCCTGCAGAGCCAGGGCAGGGAGACCCCTCTACCCTGCCCTTCCCTCTCTTCCTCACTTCGGTCACAGCACCTGGGGGAACGGGAGTGGTGGACCGGGTGGAGAGAATGAAGAGAGTATCCTGCATGTGAAGAAAGGGAGGAAGACAGGTGGGGAGGAAGGGCCCGGCACAGTGGCTCACGCCTATAATCCTAGCACTTTGGGAGGCTAAGGCAGGTGGATCACGAGGTCGGGAGTTCGAGACCAGCCTGGCCAAGATGGTGAAACCCCATCTCTACTAAAACTATGAAAAATTAGCTGGGTGTGGTGGCATGCCTCCCAGGTCCAAGTGATTCTCCTGCCTTAGCTTCCTGAGTAGCTGGAATTATAGGCATGCGCCACCACACCCAGTGAATTTTTTGTATTTTTAGTAGAGACGGGGTTTCACTATGTTGGCCAGGCTGGTCTTGAACTCCTAACCTCTTGATCCACCCACCTCAGCCTTCCAAAGTGCTGGGATTACAGGCGTGAGCCACGGCAGCCAGCCTTCAATTTTTAATGACTACAGAATGTTCATAAAGAGGTTGGCCAGGCGAGGTGCGGTGGCTAGGATTTTGTTCATGTGGCCTTCAGAAGCTGGCAGGAGGTCTGGAGGAGAGGTGAGGACGGACAGAATGGGCACTTGGCAAAATTGGCCAAGCCGAGCTTTGCCCCTCCCCCGATCACTGGCCACCCCTCACTCCACTGACTTCCTGGAACCTGCAAGGACATTCTTCACATAGCCCTGTGGGAATCCCACAGCCAGAAGCTGGTGCCTGGATCCTGGCCCTCAGCTCACACTCCGGCCCCACCCCCTAGAGATTCTAAAGGTCGTCTCAAGGTCATGAAATGAATACCTGTTGAGCATCTTCTGTGAGTAAGGAAGGCCTTGTTTTAGCAGAAAGCATTCAGCACTGAACCAAACTGACAAAGATGTCGCTGGCACCTGGGTCCCCGCCCTTCAGCCTTGGGCTGGGAGTCCCGAAGCTGGCTTCTGGCTTGGGCCCTGTCACCGACGCCTGGTGGGACCATGGGCAAATCCCTGCCACTCCCTGCTCAGGCTTGGGACAGCAGCCGGGGTTCCTTGGCCATGGTCGCTGGAGCCGGCCTGTGCAGCTGCAGGGGCTTTGGTCACAGGCCAAGTAAGCCAGAGCCCCTGCTGGGCGGAGGCTGCTGTCAGCTCTCACACTGCCTGCAGCGAGAGGGAGGCCAAGAAGAGACCCTTGGGTATCCCCAGTTTAGAGGAAGACAGGGATAGGGTGGGGGAATTAGAGATATCACACAGAGGAACAGCCACAGAGCCCTATCCAGAGTCAGAGCTCCTGACCTTCTGCCTGTCACCACGGTCACTTTCTCCCGGGATGTGGCCCCTTAGGATGAGGGTCTGGAGGCCAGCACCTCTGGCCTCCTGGGGCTCCTGCTAAGCAGGACAGAGGCTCAGCTCGTCGTCCTCCCCTTGCCACCCCCAGAACCTCCCCCCCAGGCCTGTCGGAGCCCCTCCTGCCTCGCCTTCTTCCGGGCCACCGTCTATACCTGGTGCAGGGCCTAAGGGTGAGTGCACACAGGCGGGAAGGGTTCAGGGAGAGGTGACAGAGCTGTGAGCATGGAAGGGACATTTCATGTTGATGTGGGAGGAGGTGACAGGGACAGGCTGTGACAGAGATGGGGAGGGAGAGGACAAACACAGAAAGAGGCACCGAGAGTCAGAGACAGAGAGAATGAGACAAGGGCTGTGAGAGGGAGGCCTCCGGAGCACCAGGGGCCGAGAG